ATAAATATTTATTCCAACATTTTTTTTTGAAAATTGTGTAAAATTACAATGTAACTAACAAATGAATAACTTAATGACCAGCTTCAACTTTTTTTTGTTTTTCTGACCCTTCTTCTTGTGGCTCGTCAAATACATAATCAATTTCTTGATGAGGCNCTAAAGAAGGTAAAATTCAAATTTCAAAGTTGCCGAAGATAACTAATTTTATTAATGTTCAAAGTGTTCAAGAAGCAGGTAAAACTGATAAGTGGAAAGTTTTTTTAAATATATTGATATAATTATTGCCGGAATTTCTTCATAGATATTGCTGCAAGCTTATCTAATGAGCTTGGGCCAATTGACGAGACAGAACATTCGGAATCCAATGATAAAACATTGCTTCCTTTGCCCGAGAATTCGGAGATTTTAAATCATAAGTGTACAGGTACATTTTGTTTTTACTAAATTATTATTTACATGAGATTTTTAAGTGATAATATAAAAAATCTATTTTATTTACAAAAATTGAAGAAAAAAAATGTACTCGTATAAGGGTATGGAATCAGGACGATTCGACCGGGGTTTTATTGCTCGAGTGAAGCATGAATTGACATGCATGCGGTATGCAAGCGTGTAAGTGTAATAAAAAGAGGTCCGAACAACAAATCATGTCCAGACTCTCGCATGTTCAAATTGACTGTTATGTGCATTCAACGTATTAAATTTTCACAACAGAAAGATAAATAAGAAAAAAGGTGTCACGGACTTCTCTCTTTTATTTTCACGCGTGCAGTGAGGATCGTAAGGATCGTACACTAAACATTGATTAAAATGGATAAAAAAAAGCTTTTTGTTAAAAAATTTTGAACTTACTCAATATGTATTTATTTTTTAAATTATTTATTTCATCTTTTCGACTATTATATATAATATTATTATTTAAATTTAAATTTTTATTAAAATGTTTATTATTAATTTATTTATTATTAAAAATTTGTTGTTTCATACCAATAGATGAGTCTGAAAATCTCAGTACAATTACAAAATATTCAACAGACTTAGCATCCTGGAAAGATATCAACGAAGATTTACGAAACTATTGCTTGCAAAAAGATCCATCTTTTTTTCATATTAAGAATTATGAATATACAAAATTAGCTAGAATTTATGACAAAAATGAGAAACAGAAAATAAGATCTCTTTTTTATCGCAATTTGCACAACGGAGAAACAGTAGAACGAGACTGGCTTTCTTATTCTCCATCGACCGGTAATATTTATTGTTTTATTTGCCACTTATTTTCAAATGAACGAAATCAATTCGCGTTTTTTGGATTTCGTGACTGGAAGCATCCAGAGCGAATTGTAGACCACGAAGAGAGTCGATCTCATAAGGCATCTTTGATAACGTACTCTAAAAGAAGAAAAAACTTAAATTTGATAAATACACAAATGACGCTTCAATTAAATAATAAAAAATTACTGGACACAAGTTCTTCGTAGAATCACTGATGTTATTAAGTTTCTTGCTTCTAGAGGTCTAGCTTTTCGAGGCAGTAATCAAATATTTAGGTCAACACAAAATGGAAATTACTTAGGAATTTTAGAACTTTTAAGCAAATACGATAGTTTTTTAAAAGATCATATTAAGACTTACGGAAATAAAGAGCACGGAGTGACATCATATTTATCTGTGAATATTTGCGAAGAATTTATTGAATTAATGGGGAAACAAATATTTTTTTATATTATCAAAGAATTAAAAAAATCGAAATATTACTCGATTTGTGTTGATTCTACGCCCGATGTTTCGCACACAGATCAGTTAGTTTTTGTAGTTCGCTATACAACTGATAAAGGTCCCATCGAGCGCTTTTTATTATTTATCCCAATTGAGCAACACAAGTCTGAATATTTAAGTGAAGTTGTAATTAGTTTTTTACATGAACATAACGTCGATATTCAAGACTGCAGAGGACAGTCATATGATAATGCCTCGAATATGTCAGGACAATACTCAGGCTTGCAAGCGAGAATCAGAGAAATTAATAAATATGCTATTTACATTCCTTGCGGGGCATTCTTTAAATTTAGTCAGAACTAAAGCAGCTGAGTGTGTTCCGGAAGTCGTAGCTTATTTTTATTTAGTGCAAAAATTGTATACATTTTTTTCATTATCGACTAATAGATGGCAACAACTTTTGTCAGCTTTAGGACCGGAAAACAAAACCTTAAAAAGTCTTTCGACTACTCGATGGTCAGCTCGTTGCGATGCCATAACTGCCTTGCATAACGGTTATGATAAAATATGTACAGTTCTCGAAAAAATAACACAAGATCAAAACACAGCTAAAGATACGAAATACGAAGCGCAGTCATTGTTTAAAAAATTTAAAAAAATTGAAAATATATTTTTAACTATTGTGTGGAACGATCTTTTGAGTCGTATAAACGATGTTAATGTAACTTTTCAAAAAAAAAACATGAATTTACAAGTAGCTACTCACCTATTAACATCTTTAAATTCGTATTTGAATGATACTAGAGATAAGTTTAATAATTTTTTAGTAAAAGCTAAAAATATTACGGTATTAAGTGGAGATTCGTGCAATCAGAGAATAAAAAAAATTAATACCAGACTAACTTATTTTGATGGACCTTCCAATGAATAACTTTTTAATTCCGATGATAAATTAAGAATCAAAATTTTTTTACCTATTATTGACTCTGATTTGAAGAAAAGACAAGAAGTTTACGATAAATTAAATGAAAATATCACATTTTTTACGACGCTCCAAAAAATCAATAGCAAACAAATCGAGGACGCTTGTGAAAACTTGGCAAATATCTATGATAAAGATATCACAGCGGAAAATTTAATTTCTGAATGTTTACATTTTAAACATTATTTAAACGAAACTTATAACGATGATGAGGTATTACTAATTCCTGATTTGTTTGATACAATTAAAAAAGATTGTATTAGTTCTACTTTTCCTAATATTGAAATTTGTTTACGCATATATTTAAGTTTGATGATAACTAATTGTACTGGCGAGCGTTTATTCTCTTATTTGAAATTTTTAAAAAGCGATGTAAGAAATTCGATGACCCAGTCCAGGCTAAACTATTTATCTATCATGTGCATGGAATCTAATTTATTAAATGAAATAGATTTTAATGATTTGATTAACGACTTTGCGACTAAAAAATGTCGTAAAAAACTGTTTAATCGGAGTATATAATCAATTTTAGAAGGAATATCTATATATATATGTGTATTATGTTTAATATAAAGTTTTATGTTTAAAATAAATTGATTTCATTTTGTTCAAGTATTCTTTTTAAAAAAAATATATTAAAAAAACTTAACGATTGTCTACAAAGAGGCCCCCCTTTTGCAGGAGGCCCTGGGCCCGGGCCCGGTGTCCCTGCCTTAAAGGCGGCCCTGGTTCCCTTAAGTCAATTACTGAAATTCATAAATTCGTCATTAAGGTTAAGTCAGACATTAACCTTAAAGGACAGCTTGAAGTACGCGTTCGTCAATTAAGCGTTTTTTGAAAAACAGTTTCGCGAACATCAAGAGGCTATTGTAAGCGCGTTAATAGAACTCTATCGCGTCGAACAGTTCGATAGTATCGTTTCGCCGGTGACCGTTGAAATAGAAAACATGTTTTATGATATTAGTGCTGCTGCATTTCTAGTTCAAAACGTGAACACCCCGCAACCCATTTACTCATTTTAAAATGAAATAAAATACCTTTGTAAATTAAATAAAGTGTTTCACAATTTTCGATTTTGTGCACGAGATTAACTGTGATCACAGGAAACAGCGTTGACACAATGATAAAATTTTTAAATAAATGATACTAGATTATACATAATATGTCAGTTTTTAGAAGAATATTCGTTCAAGAATAGACCTGTAATTGCACGAACGAAAATTTTGAAATATATGAGAGAAGAGACCTATTTTTCTCCCAGCATGCACTAAACATTAAACATTGATAATACCTACATTGTATTTTTATACTTAATTTAACACATAAGTAAATCTATGTGTTGATGTTAATAATAAAAAATTGTTTTTTTTAGATTTTAAATTTACTCTTTATTTCAATAAAAATTAACAAATTTAAGTATAATTAGTAAAAATATTAAACAATTTAATAGAAAAATATTTTATAAATATCAAATAACAAAATACATTACTTTTTGTGGAACTATTGTGGGTATGTATTAAGAATCTAAAATTTTAACAGAAGAAAAAAGGAATCAAACTATTGAATGATTAGAAGTTTTAACTTAAAATTAGCTCAACCATCTTATAGGTAAAAATCAGGGTTTGAGGCACATCATCTCATATAATTACTATTTAGTAATTACCAACTACTTTTTCCATAATGTACATACAATTTGAATTTGATTCTCATTTCTTTCGCGGTTTTATTTAATTCAATATATATAAACAAATAATGAATAAAAAATTATTGATAGCAATATTACATTTCATTTTACAATAATAGTTAATAAATAATAATAATTTACAATGAGTAAAATGAATTATTATTCACATTTGTGTAAAACAATAGTTCATTGATATTTATCTAGCTAAGATAACTATTAAAGCGCATTTAGAAGGCACTTAACGAGTATGCCTTGCGAGTTGTAATTCGCGTTCCACAAACTTCTACAACTCACGAGTCAGAATCGCGCCTTTAGTTTCGACGATTTGGGAGTTGGGATTTGGAGTTGGCTCACTGTGTTAACTCATTTGAGTGAACTGATTCATATCAATGAGTCAAAAATCCCATCTCTAATAGTAAGTGTAAATATGCTCCCACCATACGTCAATTCTTTGTTGTGTATACGACCACTGCATTGGTTTAACGTATGTTTCTTGGTATTATGTGGTTACATCTAGCGGTAAGAAAAAGCGTTATACTGTATAATTAATTGGTAACCGAAATATAATAATGATAAGAAGTTGGTGGATAAAAAATTGGCAGATTCACACTCATAAGTTTATCACATCAAAAGCCTTTTTTCTTCAATGAAGTATCATAGGTAGATGGATAATTAGATCAAAATGAATTTAATAAGATTTACTATTATTATTTATTATTATTTACAAAAAAATAATTTATTTTGTAACAATTGTGCTTTTAATAAAACCGTTTTAAATTTTCTAGTTTATAATTTGTTGTTACATTTATGTACATTTTAATTTCTTTTACAATTAATTCATATCTTTTTATCAATTTTTAATGATATTTCATTAAAGAAAAAATAATTCAGAAAATGCATAATTATAAGTTTTTTATTTTTGGTTGTATATTTACTTCGTTAACGTGGTCTATAAGCTTGTTCATGTATTGGAAACTTAATTCTAAGCATATTGATCTCTATTCACAAAAACAGATTTTATATCCCAGAAGTACATATGATTACACAAATAAACAAGAACTGAAGTATCTGAAATCCCATATTAGTAAAATTGCTGTATAAATTAAGCTTTAGTTATGTTTGATAATGTTCAAATTATATTTTAGGGTTAGAAGAATTAGGAGTTATCAAAACAGATAATGATATTTATATTAGGGATAAAGGTTACAAAGATCATGGTTTTAACGCTTTGATTAGTCTGAGACTTGGAGATTACAGAGAACATCTACCTGATACAAGACATAAATTGTAAGTAAAAGTGCATCGATAAACTGATGTTTAAAATTTAATAATTTTAACTTGAACCCTATGTAACTAAGTATTATAAATAAATTGAATTAGTGTTGGTTTAATGATTTCATTATTACAATATGACTAGTATTTTTATTTAACAGTAATTACTAAACTGAAACTTATTAGTCAAAAGTTTAATAAGCCACTTCCATATTATTGGTAAAGATTACAGTTAAGTACTTATTAAATTTAATATGACTATTATTTCTATTTAATTTTAGCTTCGAAGCGAAGCTGAGAAGGTATTGGTTTTACTATGATGTGTTTTTTTGAGTCTGTTACCACTTTTTCTCAGCTCTCACTGATACGTCTCACGATACGTCAAAAGATCACAATTCATATCTAGTCAAAGACATTACCCTCAAAAATTTCCCTCGTTCCTCGTAAATGAGGGAAACTTCCAAAAAAAAGTTACAAATTTAAAAATTGCTAATATTCGAAATTGTTCAATTTTTTTTTCTTAAAACTGCCATAACTTTTTCAATAATGAACAAATCAATATAATTTTTTTTTTTTATAGATGCTTGATGTCTTTACTTATCATTTGGTATATTTTTTTTATAAATTTAAACCTTTATCTGACCACAGGATAGGATTTAAAATGACAACTTTTTCACAAAAAGTTTACTTTTACACTTAACTTTTGAAAGTGTTCCGGAAAGTCTGACACTTTTATATATATCTTAAATTAAAAATAATCTAATGTACTTTATTATAAAAAAAAAAAATTTCGGACTTCATTTTGTCTTTACAATGAAAATGAATACCAAATGCTATTTTCGTGTGAAAATTCTCGATTTTATTTTTTACATTTTTAACTTTATAATGCTATAACTTATTGAAAAGTTTTTTTCATTCAACATACTTTATTTTAATCAGGATATTAATAAGGAAATAGCAGATCATCTAGCTTTTAGAATAATCCACCAATTTTTTAAAATTAATCACTCTAAAGATTTGCATCAAAATGTTTTTTTTTGATAGTGATTTTAATCACTGTCAAATATCATTATACTTGATCCAACTATGCCACGTCACCACTGTGCCACGACCCCCTATCCTGGGTTTTTTTTTAATTTTTCATTACATTAAAGTTTCCTTTGACAGTTTTAGTCCAATCCAACTCAGCAGTAAATTTTTAAACATGTCTGTATTTTGCACATATGCATTAAGCTGTTTCTAATGAATAAAATAATTTTCAACCTTTTTTTATTAAATAATGGATATATCTAGTTAAAAGGGCCTGGCCTAGTTTGTAGAATCATATGTTTTGGCACACGGAGTCATAGGTTCGATTCCCTGGGTGCCAATGAGATTTTTTTTGTGATTTTCTCAATGGTGGTATCTCTTGTGCAAGCCAGATATAGTATCTATCCCGTTCATCATTGGCCTAGCCAAGAACCGTCTTTGACTCACTAACAAAAAAAAGAGAGCTATCACCATCTGTAGCACTTTAAGTTTGATATTTAGAAGGATATAAAACTGATCATTATTATATAGTGAACATATTTAGTTAATATTCCAAAGAATTCTATTGCAAAGTTAAGATTTTAAGTATTTTAATTAAGAGAAAAAGCAAATATTCATATAAGGAGTAAAAAGTAGTTTAAAATATACTTGCACCAAATAAATAAAAAAAAATTTATTTTGATTTCATATTTTTGTTTTGCTTTTGTCTTTTAAAAATATCTAACCAGTCATTGTTAGTGGCTAATGAACTGTAATAATAATTAGATAAATAAATTTCCTATCTTATGTTGCTTATTTCCTTAAAATTACACACACCCGCTTGATTACTCGATTATTCGGTCCACCCTTAGTATCCCTACTCTTGCTTCCAGGCAAGTTGATGCTAACCATTATTTTATCAATGCTCTCCTTAATGGTTTAATTGATGTACCAGACTTTTGTTCTCTATATTTTTTCGTGTTCCATTCTATCCTACTAGAAATTACTTTCTCTTTCATGTTTTCCCTCTCATCACTCTTCTACACAGAATGCTCCGCTTCCTTAACAATTCATAGTTTTAGTCACATCTACTTTTTATATAATAATTTCTCTTTTAAATATTTAAACCCGATTCTATAAATTATTCTGTTGTACATTTTTCTTCACACTTAATACATATTAATATTTTATTTTTTGTTCTGTGATATAGATTATCATGTACAGTAGAACCTCATTAATCCGGACTAATAAGGGCTCTAGGTTGTCCGATTTAATGAAAGTCCGGATTAAACAAAATAACCAAAAAACATGTCCGTATTATAGATTTAAGAATATTATATTATACTAAATACTATATATGATATAATATATATTATATATATTGCAAACATGATATTAGGTCCAGCAAAAATATTATATATTTAATGTGGATAGAATTATGTATATATATATAATAATGACCAAAATATAAATTACTAATACATAGTTTATGATAACTTTAATGACGGTAGATAAGAATATATGTACTTATGGGAAATTCGAGGAACTTGCCTTTATGTTTATTTTAGTCTACGGCATAAACTGTGTATTTTTCATAATATTAGACAGCTGTCCGGATTAAGCGAAGTCCGGATTAATGAGGTTCTACTGTATATTATTTTTGTAAATTGCCTTTTTTTGGTGTTTGATATTCAAATAAATAAATGATAAATATACAATATGAGCTATAAAACTTGATCTTGATACAAGTAGCATTATTTCTTTATATTTGTTTTTTATATTTTAGATGCTCTTATTTAAAATATGACCAAAACTTACCAGAAGCAAGCATAATTATTTGCTTTTATAATGAACACCCTCAAGCTCTTTTTAGAACAATACAATCTGTAATTAGACGAACACCTTATAATTTATTGCATGAAGTTATATTAATAGATGATTACAGTGATCACAGTAAGTATTATATATCAAAATTATAATAGTTAAGTGTAAAAATTCACTAACAGTTTTTTTGCTTTGATACAAATCTGAATTTATGTAAATTTTACTATAGAGTCAATTCATACCATATCATCGATATTTAATTGCACAAAAACTTCAAAAAATGACAGCATTTTTATGACATTTTCCTTAGACCTAAATAAATAAAATATAATTTTTTTTTTTACGTCTACTATTTTATTATGATTAATTTAATTAAAAAAAGTTAAAGAAACACATCTATAATAAATTAAAAATTCTTATTTAATATAAGATTTAATCAATTTCAATTTTTTTGTAAACTTAATTTATGACTTATAGTTAATGATAAAAACAAAAAAAATCAGTTTTGTTTTATTGAGTAGTTAGCGGATAATTAAAAATATATTGTTTTTACTCAGAATTACTTAGTTTAAACCTACAAAAAAACATGATAGAATCAATTTTATTTTTATTTTTTTTAAATGTTTTTTATATGCATGGACATTGACTTACCCAACTTTAGATGGTTCAAATGAATACCATAGATTTTACAAGCATTATAATTTATAGATAATTTACAATAATGACAGATATTTCAAGCATCATTATCTATGATGGGTAACCTTAAATTAAAATTTTTTAAATCAATTTTTATTGTAATTTGAATGCGGCATCAAATTTTGTGATTATTTTTAGTTTAATTGCATTTTTTTCTATTAAAAAATTGATTTAAAAATAACAATCTTGTGAAAAATGTATATTTTTGATTTTAGAAAATTGCATCTACTGAAAAATTATACATTTAAAAATAGTATTTCATTGTAACTTCTCAATTAATTTAAAAAGTATTAAAAAAAGAACTTAATATGTTCCTTAAAATTCCTAATATAGCCTTCTATGTATATTACCAATAGAGTTAAAAATATCAATAACATATATAAGTTTCTTAAACAGCCTTACCAAAACCTTTATCATTGATATTTTATGTAGTCCATTAAATTAAAATGTCTTATATACGACATCTGTCTATCTGTACCTTAAATTATTAAATTTTAGCTTTGATGCAAAGCTGAGAAAGTATTAATTTTACTATGATGTGTTTTTTTTTTTTGTGTGTGTCTGTTACTACATTTCTCAGCTCTCACAGAACAGGTTTCTTTCAAAGATACCTCAAAAGATCACAAATCGTATCTAGTTGAAGACATTACCCTCAAAAATAAAAAACATTTCACTCGTTTCCCGTAAATGGCAGAAATCTTTAAAAAAAATTACAAATTTGAAAATCGCTAATTTTCGAATTTTTTTCAATTTTTTTTATGAGAAATAATACCATTTCTCTTTATATATTATAAATATATATAGATATTTATTTATTTATTTATATATTATACTTATAAATCATAAAACTTGTAATCAGGATATAAATAAGAAAATAGGAGATCATGTAGCTTTTGGAATAATCCACCAGTTTTTTTAAATTAAACACTATCTAAAGTTTTGCATCAAAGCGTTTTTTTATGATAGTGATTTTAATCACTGTAAGATATCATTATACTTGACCCAACTATGCTGTGTTACCACTGTGCCGCAATCCCCCTGTGCTGTGTTTTTCATTTACAATTGTTCATAAAAGTGTGTGTATTTTGTAATTATATATTAAATGGCCTGTGACATTAACCATTAGCTATTTTAATAGAAATTTATTTATCGTTTGAATAATTTTTCTTTCATATTTATATACAGAGTAATTTTTTTAAATTATAAACCACATAATAAATAAAAAATGTTGTTAATTTAAAAAACTTTTGGATTAATATTAGGAATATTTTACTCAATGAGTATAACTTATAATAACTATTAAAAATTTTAAATTATAGACTGGGAATAAGGCACGGTTGCTACTATTTTTATTGTGAGACATTTCTCAACCAATCTGCCTCACACCTATTATTAAAATGTTGATAACAACTGTTATACGTTTTTAAAAGTTGTTATTGACCAGTCATTTTCTTAATTATATCATTATTTAATAAATAATCTATTTAATTATGTATTTTACAATTTGAAATATTAAAGTTTTTGTCATTAGTTTTAGATCATATACAGAATGATTCAATAAGGATAAACCCTCATTTTCTCAGAAACTATTGAAAATTTTTAATTTTTGTAAAGAAAAGTATTTTTTGATTCAAAAAATTCTACAATAATATGTAGTTACATCATTTTTTTTCTTTTTTTCAGACGTAATAACAACCTTAACATTTATTTTTTAATGAAAACCCCTAATTTTACCTTAATAATATGATGAAAAAAAATTTACAAAAAATTTTGTTTTTAGAATTTTTTTTATCCAATCCACCGTTTATCTCTTGTGAAAGTTAATTAGTTAATTATTGAAAGTTAAGTGATTTCAAACCAAATTTTTATTGTTATTTTACTTTTTTGTATGTAGAAGTCATTGATGACTAGTAGACACATACTATCATATTCAATACAAATTTTATATCATAAATTGTTGAATGACCAGTATGGAAAAATTTTTGATAACTACTATAAAAATAATTTATGGTCCATTGAAACAGATTATTGTTGCGTCCAGTATTACAAAAACCAAATTTCTAATGATAAAATTCTATTTTTAAATCAAATCTATAAATAATTTAAAAAGATGTATGGTTGATTTATGTGAAATTATGTGTAAAACTTTTTCTATAATATTATGAAAGATTAAATATATTAATTTAAAACTAAAAAAATATTAAAAATAATTAACTCAAAAAACCACAATAAAATGACTAAAAAATCGAGCATATGTATTTCAGGAATAATGTTAAGCATATACTTTTTCAGTTAAATATTTAATTATACATTATTGTACAGTTTTTTGAATCAAATAATAATCTTCTTTCCAAAAATTAAACATTTTCAATTGTTTCCAAGAAAATTAATGTTACCTCTAGTAATTATAAAAACTAACTAGTTCTTTTCAATTATTAAAAAAAAATTAACAATATAAATATTTAATAAAAGTTAAAATAAGTTTAGCTTATGTATTATGTAATATGTAATATACAAATAATTTTAATATTAAATTGTCCATTTTATAAAATCAAAGCTATTTTGGGTAAAATAAGTATTTTATTTAAAATTATGCTGCTACATTTAGTAGAATTAAAATAAATTATTGTTCCGTTTTTAATGACGTCTAAAAATTGAATAGACGTTTTTTCGATTGAAAACATCAACCTCAGTCATCCACGTGACCAATAAATTTCGGTCACGTATTTGATGAAAAAGTATAATACTCTAATTCGGAACTTGTCATGACTATTCAGCAATGGGATGTCCCACAACAAAAAACAAACTTCACCGTTTATTAGGATCCGTTAATTTTTATCACAGATTCATACCAAACGCAACGCGCACTACAAGCCTCACTGTATCATCTGCAAGTATAAAAAACAAGACGGACCTTTGTTGTAGATGTATGACGCCTGCATCGCCTTCAATGCGTGCCGAGGAACACTCGCCGCTACGACAACTCGATCTCACATAGCGCCCAACACACGGTTACAACTCATCATGGAAGCTAGCAATGACTCGATAAGTGGTGTGTTAAAACAGAAACATGGCAACCATTCGAATTTTTTTCCAAAAAATTCTCGGTCACTCCAGAAAATTATTTGATGCATTCCTCTGTACCCGCTACTTCATCTAGATAATCGAAGGGTACTCAACGGTTTTGTATACAAACTACAACCTTCTCGTATACATTGTTCACACATAAAAGTGAAAAATATATTGATCGACAGGTGCATCACGTGTCATTTTAATTGTAATTTATTCATACCGTCGTATTTTTCAAGGCGCGACAATATAACCGTTTTACGGTTATAAAATCATGATATATCTGACGGGTCTTTTTTGTAGATTTTACTTCTGGTACAGAATATACTTATATATCCTCGATATACGTTGTGCGAGACACGTTATACGGTGTTCGAAAATCAACTTTATGCCAAATCAAAGCACGCTATTGTTAGTTGAATATGAATTATGAAATCGTTAAATGGACCAAATGCTGTTTGAAATGGCAGCATTCGAAATTGTTCAGACACAGCGTATTGCAAATTACACCTTTCTATTAAAAAAACGCAAATTCGTTCATATTCTACCTCTAACAGTCGATAACACATATTTAGTAACGTGCGTGGACCATTTTACTCAATGACCAAAGGCACAGCCGTTTAACAACATGTCTACACATACCATCGTCTTGGCCCTTGACAACCAATGATTCTCACGTTTTGGGATTCCGAACAGTTGAACGGCCGACCAAGGTCTGCAATTTGAATCAGAGTTTTTTGGCGCCTGTACAAAATAATATAATTTTTTTGGCTTCCAACACAAAAAATAAATTATATTATACTTACTTACTTAAAAAATGACAGAGTAATTTAAACATTTAATTCTGGTTGGTTGTAATTTGATTTATTTTTGTAGACAATAAATTTTTAAGTTTCAAAAATTATATTGAATTTAAAACAGAAGACATATAAAACAGAATTCTGTTTTTTGCTGAAGTACTCCCTTGGATCTCATATGATTTCTTTTAGAATAAATTTGAAATGGAAAATAAAATAAAATGTTAATCATTTATTAGATATTCCGTAGAATTTTTATGGTGTCTTTCTCAAGACTTCTATTCAAAACCTTAATGGTAACCAGAAAGGATTGTCAAATAATTTTGTGCTCCTGCGGAGTGTCCTCAGAAAACAGATAAGAAAGCTCGTATAGCATAGGTCTATTAACAAATGGAATATGCTTCAAATGAAATTCATGTCCTCAATATGAAATAAGTTTTGATAATATTTTAGTAAGTAAAAGTGTTCGTTCCCTATAGAAGACAAATTTAAAGAAATTTCTAATTCTCCTATCATATAAATATTATAAAACTTAATTTATCATTAATAAGGAATATTTTATATTGCGAATACGACTTTATAGGCGTAGAATTAGGATAGCGGAGTTCACTTAATATGTTATATAGAAATCTAACAGGACCCTCCTATTACACTACATTATCTCCCTTTGCTACAAGGCTAATTAGTATATAAAGTTGCGGTGATGATGAAAAACTCGAAAAAAAAACTGTTAGTGAGTTTTTACAACAAACCAAGGATTTTAGTTAGAATTTTTTTTTAAATATATATGAAATGCTTCTTCGTTGTTCAGATAATTTACATGAAACTGTTAATTCATACATTGTATCTCAGAATTTACAAAATATAATTCATTTGAAAAAAACAAATAAAAGAGAAGGACTGATTCGAGCAAGGCTGTTTGGTGCTAAATTAGCTACAAGCCAGGTATTACAATGATTATGATTTTGTAATACTTCCTTTACTTCTTCCTTCAACATTAATTTCTATTATTGTTCTCGCAACTTTCAATTCCTCTCTCTTCATAACATGACCAAACCCTCTAAATCTCACGATTGACGCTACACCTATACTCCCTCTTATATATTCATTCCTTATTCTATCTGCTCTAGTCACTCCACACATCCATCTCAACATTCTCATCTCTACTACACTCATTCTCTGCTCTATTCTCTTGTCGAATATCCAACACTTTAAACCATACATCATAGCTGGCCTCACTACAGTCTTGTAGATTCTATCTTTCAGCCTCATTGGAATTCTTTTATCGCATAACGCAACAGACGCTTCTCTCTACTTTACCCACCCTCACTTAATCCTGTCTCTAACATCCTCGTCAATACCATCATTCTTTTACACAACTGTTCCTAAATACTTAAAACTTTTAACCTCTCTTATTATGTCCTCGCTTAATGTCACTAATCTCCTCAATTCATCTACTTCGTTTTCTGCTTTGCCAAACTCGTACTCTATCTTACTCCTACTTATTCTTAATCCCTTTCTTTCGAGAGATGATCTCCACACTTCTAGCTTTTGATTAATTTCCTCCCTATTTTCTCCTATTAACATTGTATCGTCAGCGAGCAACGTGCACCACGGCACCTCTCCTTGTATTTCTCTAGTTATTTCATCCATCACTATAGAATATAAGTAAGAGCTTAATGCAGAACCTTGGTGCACTCCTACTCTTATTCTAAAACTTATTACTCCTTTCCAATTTTTTCCTCTATACATATCCTAAATTGTATTGATAGAAGATTGTATAGTTTCAACTATAATTCTTTTTATATGTAATATAAAAAGAATTATAGTTGAATTTTTTATATGTCAAAATACATATTTAACTAATTTGTAAAACCAAAAATGATTAGTTTATAACAGTTTTTGGACTAATACATTGAAAGTAATTAAAATTTTTATATGTAGGCGGAATTTTATTGAGGCATAAAGCCTCATGAATGTATGAAAATTTGGGAAAAAGTAATAGATAAGAGAATAAGAAATGAGACATCGGTACCTAAAACCAGTTTGGATTTATGCCTGGTAAGTCAACAATGGAGCCAGTATTTTGTGTGACGCAACTAATAGAAAAGTTTAGGGAAAAGAAGAAAAAGCTGTGTATGGTATTTATAAATTTGGAGAAAGCGTATGATAAAGTATCGAGAGAGGTTTTAAAGTGGGCATTAATAAGAAAAGGAGTCCCGAAAAAGTACATTAATATAATAGAAGGTATGTATGATGGCACTTGTACCAGGGTAAAAAGTGTAGGAGAAGAAACAGAAGGTTTTCGGATAAGAGTAGGAGTGCACCATGGTTCTGCTTTAAGCCCTTATTTATTCTCTATAGTAATAGATGAAATTACTAGAGAAATACAAGGAGAGGTGCCATGGTGCATGTTGTTTGCTGACGATATAGTGTTAATAGGAGAAAATAGGGAAGAAATTAATCAAAGGCTAGAGGTGTGGAGATCAGCTCTTGAAGAAAAGGGTTTAAGAATAAGTAGAAGTAAGACAGAGTATATAGAGTACGACGTTGACAAAGGAGAACATAAGGTAGGTGTAATGAGAAGGTCAGTGACAATAGGCGAGGACGTAATAAGAGAGGTTAAAAATTTTAAGTATTTAGGATCAGTTGTGTAAAAGAACGATGGTATTGACGAGGATGTTAGATACAGGATTAAGTGAGGGTGGTTAAAGTAGAGAGAATCGTCTGTTGCGTTATGCGATAAAAGAATTCCAATGAGGCTGAAAGGTAGATTCTACAAGACTGTAGTGAGGCCAGCTATGATGTATGGTTCAGAGTGTTGGGCGGTTGATAAGAAAGTAGAGCAGAGAATGAGTGTAGCAGAGATGAGAATGCTTAGATGGAGTAGAATGACTAGAGAAGATAGGATAAAGAACGAGTATAGGTGTAGCGTCAATCGTGGATAAGATGAGAGAAAATAGATTTAGAGGGTTTGGTCTTGTTATGAGGAAAGATAATTGGAAGCTGTAAGAACAGTTATAGAAATTAATGTTGAAGGAAAAAGAGGTAGAGGAAGATCAAAAAAGAGATGAAGGGATGCTATTAAATGCGAAATGAGGACAGCTGATGTGAGCGTAGATGATGTCAGAGATCGTGACAAGTGGAAATAATGTCTTTGACAAGTACTTACACCGTATTCGTAAACCAGCCACGCCGACGTGTGACCACTGTTCGGTTCGCCTGGGAGAGGCTGACAGCGTTCTGCACACCCTCTTCCGGTGCGAGGCGTGGGCCCAGGAACGGGACTCTCTGGGGTCCACGATCCGAGTCTGGTCCTTGGTGAACCTGATGTTGAGGAGGCGTGGAAGGTCGTCCACGCGTTCGCCGAATCCATCTTAGAAAAGAAGGAGGAAGCGGAACGCCTGAAGCAGAGGCAGCCGCGCCGCCCTGTACAGGAAGACCTAAGACGGGGGAGGCCACACCACGTTTTGAATCAGATCGAAATTAATCAAGAGCTGATTCACAACGTGGTGGTGTGAGTTTTAGAGACGGCGTGGGCCGCCCTGAAGTAATACCTCACGGTAGTTCCAGGGCGGTCCACACTTATGCCAGTCGTGGGGAAAAAAAGGATGACTGACCCCATGTAGTTGGAATGAAGGCGAGGAAGAAGAAGATATGTAGACAGAATTGAACAATGAGTTTGAGTATTGTGATAGTCTACCTGCGCTTATTCCTAGTTAATATTTTAAAATAAATTTATCTTAAACTGTTTAAATACATGTAAGCTGGGTACATAATTTTTTTTTTTTTTTTTTACAAAATTATTTTAACAAATTACATTTGTTGAAAACGGCAATTTTTATTTTTTTTCACTATTTTAAACTTTTTCTAAAATTAATGGACCTATTTAAAATTTCTCTTAATATAAAAACATTTTTAATTTTGTTAAGTATTATTTATTTCTTGATTAAAGTGTTCAAATATTCTTTAGATCTATCTATTATCTCTTATAAGGGTACCAACTTAATTTTTTTCAGTTCTTAGTATAAAAAATGATTCAACTAAAATAAATAAGCCTGTTTTTTTAAACTATATTTATTTTTTATATTATTTTGCATTGCTGTTACAGTCACGTAGTGTTTATTGTAAGTTATGACTATCAATAGATAAAATTTCTATATTGACAGTTAGTGTATTTATAAACTCACAACAATGAGTCCTACTACCATTGATAATAAAGGCTATATACCTGCGAATATAGTCATAAAAAACCAATTAGCTACCTGTATTTGTACTCCCTTATTATACATGTATATTAACTCAAAAAAAATTGAACCTTTAAATGTTTATATCTAATAATAAACAATAAAAATTTGTTTATATATATATATATATATATATATAAATGACTGGTTAATAACATCATTTAATCCAGTATTCCGGAAGTAATTAACACTTCTAAATGTTAACTGGAGGTGAAATGTAGATTAATATTCCTCTATAATATATTACTTCTCCCACTAGGATATAAAAATCTTCATAACTATTGAACTATTGTTTCAAAAGTTGTTATCGATCAGTTATTTTCTTAGTTGGATAGTTTTCTGTTTTATAAACTATTTAAATGTGAACGTTACCATTTAGAAAAATTAAGTTGGTACACTTATAAGGATCAAGGGGTTGACATAAAAATTATTTAACGATTTAAAATTCAAGAAATAAAAACTACTTAAACAAGACAAAAAAAAATTCATAAGATTTTTATTATTTTAAAAACAATTAGTTGTCTTTGATAAATAAATCATAAAGTATATTTATATATTTTATAATTTTTGAATTAATAACGACTGTTTTTGCCAGAGTATTATGATAGTGATGTTAATTACTGTCAAATATTAAGCTACACTTGTGTCTATAATACTGAGCCCTGACTTCACGGGTTTTTCTCGTAAAAATCGAATAAAGTATTAAAAAAACTCTTTTTGGATTTATTACGCTATTTCAAGCATTTTACTGGATTTTTTTGTTGCTTCTAGTTTCTGAGATAATACATTATTAGTTGAAACAAATATTATTATGAAATTACCATAGAGACTGTTTTTGAAGATTGATTAATTTGTATGAATCGTTAGTAAGCTTTAAGGTGGATCAAAAAAAGTCGATTTTCAAAATTTTAATGAGAACCATATTAACTTTATTATTATATAAATTTTTATTAGTTTTTTGATCCACCCTAGTAAGCATAGTTCTGATGTGTGACGATTTTATAACTTTTACTACATTGGTGATTTTCTTATAGTCAAATAATAAATCCTGACCTGGTTATCACATCAATTTAAATTTATTGTTTCCTTAAATAATCATATACATTTTTTTAGATATTGATATTTCTAGACAGTCATGTAGAAGTCAATATTGACTGGATTCAACCTCTTTTAACAAGAGTAAGAGATAATCGAACTCAAATTATTGCTCCAATTATTGATATCATACAGCCAGATACATTTGATTACAAATCTTCTCCACTTGTAAGAGGTGGTTTTAATTGGGGTTTACATTTCAAATGGGATAGTTTACCAAAAGGCTCTTTAATTACAGATGAAGATTTTATCAAACCAATCAAGTAAATCGTTTTTATAAATAGGTACAATTGAAAAAAATCTCAATTTTAAGCTGAGTATTTAAAAATAACTTAGTAAAATAAAAATCCCGCTTAGTGGGACCATTAATAATTATAATTACTATTATAAAACGCTAAAAAGCGTGCTTAAGAAAAAATGATTTGTTCCACCTATAATTTTAAGACGAATCAACTTATTGGACTTATAAATGGTCGTGGTGTTATTATAAAAATCTATCCCTTAAAATAACCTGTGTTATTATTAAATAATATAAATATTCAAAATTTCATTTTACCATTAAAAATAAAATTAAAGCAAATTGTATTGAATTGAAAAAATTAATAACGACCTTCTTGTTTACACAATTATTTGTATTTTTTTTTTACTTAGAAAAACAGTGTGAAAACATTATATATTAAAATATTTGTTATTTTTATATATTATGTTTATTTTCTTAAGTGTTCAAGTAATTTTTGTCAATTTCTTAAAAATATATTTATAATACAATGTTGTTGATATTTTAATAAAATTTATTGTTATACAGAGTGTTCAGTAAATAAGGAAACGAATTTCTATTGTACTCATTGTTTGTAACAATTTAACTGTTTCCTAACTTACTGAACACCCTGTATATACATTTTTGTTTGAACTTTGGCTTTATAATCAGATTACTGATCCAATGTACTTTTATCGCTTTGAACTTTTTTTTATTATCTTATTAATCTCATATATGATGTATAAATCTATGAGTGTATCGTAAAAATTGGGAACCATCTAATTCAACTATGTTGTCCAACGTTAAATCACAGTAATCAATATTCATATGAAATTTTTTTTTGTAATTGTTCTATAATATTAATAAATTTATTATAATATAATATTAATAATTTTTAGCTTCGATGCGAAGCTGAGAAGGTATTGGTTTTACTAAGATGTGTTTTTTTTTTTTTTTTTTTGTGTCTGTTACCACTTTTTCTCAGCTCTCACCGAACCGATTTCTTTCAATGATACGTCAAAAGATCACAAATTGTATCTAGTCGAAGACATTACCCTTAAAAATTGAAAAAAATGCCCTCGTTCCCCGTAAATGGGGGAAACCTCCAAAAAAATTACAAATTTAAAAATCGCTAATTTTTGAAATTTTTAAAAAATTTTTTACTTAAAAGTGCCATTACTTTTTCAAAAATAAACGTATCCGNAAAAGTGCCATAACTTTTTCAAAAATGAACATATCAATATAATTCTTTTTTATATAGATGTGTAATATCATTACCTTTCGTTTGGTATATTTTTTTCATAAATTTAACCCTTAACCTGCCCACAAGGGGGGGTTTAAAATGACAACTTTTTCAAAAAAAATTAACTTTTGAAAATGTTCCGGAAGGTCTGACACTTTTATATATATCTTAAATTGAAGCCAATGCAATGTTCTTTATTATACAAAAAAAAAATTTCGGACTTTATTTTATCTTCACGGTGAAAATGGCTACCAAATGCTATTTTTGTATGAAAATTTTCGATTTTGTATTTTACATTTTTAACTTTATTATGCTATAACTTTTTGAAAAATGTATGGATCAGTACAATTTTTTTATGAGGAGTAGTATTCATATACATCTTTCATTTGACATACTGTTTTTTTAAATCGGACCATTTCCCTATATACGAGGGGGGTTCAAATCTAAAAAATGCATGTAGAAAGTAGAACTTTTTCAACTTAAATTTTGAAAGTGTTCCGGAAAGTCTGACACTTTTATATATATCTTAAATTAAAGCTAATGTAATTTACTTTATTATGCGAAAAAAAAATTTCGGACTTTATTTTATCTTCACGGTGAAAATGGCTACCGAATGCTATTATTAATAATGAACTAGCCGATAATGTAGCTTTTGGAATAGAACACCAATTTTTTTAAAATTAAACACTATCTAAAGATTTGCATCGAAGCGTTTATTTTTGATAGTGATTTTAATCACTGTCAGATATCATTATACTTGATCCATCTATACCACGTCACCACTGTGCCGCGACCCCCCTGTGCTGGGGGTTTTTTTTTTATATACAAAAATAATATTTATGTAAAATGCTAAATATTTTTATATTAACTAGGTTTCGTTTAGCTGGAAAACCCGCATATCTCATGCTCGCGTAAGCCTCTTCTAGTAAGTAGGCCACTGATTCGGTAGGAGTACACGTTTGCGCCTGCCACTATAAGTGGTTTATTGAGAAAATATTACATCAGAATAAGTGTAACAAAAATATATTAAAAATTTAATTATTAAAATCAGTAAAATTTAAAAAGAAGAAATAGTAAAATGTATTGGGTATAAGGTTGATGTTTGTTAATAATGTCGCCTAAAAAATATTGATAGTGCTGGTTCAAGGAGGCAATCGTCCATATCCCCCTTAAATACACCCTAAGTATACACAATAACTATTAATATTCTAGTTATAATAGTTGTATTAATATTATAGAATAACGACAAAACAATTGGGCAAGTTATTCCTGGAAATATTTAAAAATTAAATTTTGATGAATCTCAATTTTTACGATAGACTAATACATCATATATAAATTAATAGGATTATTAATACTGTACTATTCTGATAATGTATGTACAAACTTCTTTACTTATATGACCGTCCTGAAATTTATATATAACTTATCTATATAACATTTAACATTCCTTGGTAAAATGTACAAAATATAATACTATGCGCAAATGCAAAATCGTAACTTAAAATTAAGTCTGCGGGGACTATATATCATATATGAGATTAATAAGATAAAAAAAAGTTTAAAGCGAAAAAAGTATATTTGAACAGTAAGCCGATTATAAAGCCAAAATTCAAACAAAAGTTATAAAAGAGGTGCCTCTAAAAGAAATCCTTCTACATAAGAACTTAATTTATCAAGACTCCAAAGTCTACTACTGAGGTATCTTAATAATATGACTAGTTAACAAATAAGTACTTTAACTGGACTACTGACAGAACACGATCATTTGCTTAAACATTACATAATGGAAGTGATAGAATCGTCACTATGCATGAAGTGTGGAACAGAAAAGAAAGATTCATTTCACCTTATGTTTCAATGTGATACCCTGGCCACATTAAGACCTAAACATTTAGGAAATCTCTTCCTGAAAAAGAAAATATGAAAAACATAAAACCTAAAGAGATATTTATATTCGCTAAAGAAACAGGACTCTTTGAATATATATGGAGCATCCTTGTAGGACGCTTATATTTAGTCTTAGATATTCAACAATGGCAACAACACTTCGATGAAAACATTTATGTGAAGAAACCGAATTAATATAACTTGGTAGGAGGTGCGCACAATAGACCTACAGGTCTGAATGCACGGGCAGTTCTTCCCCACCTTTATAATAACTAAAACTAAACTAAGTATTCTCATCTCTGCTCTATTCTCTTGTCACTCTAAACTATACATAATATAACCATAGCTGGTCCCATAACAGTCTTATAGTTTGGGTGAAGTAGAGTGAAGCATGACATATTTATGTCGTCATTTAATAAAAATAAGTTGACACACCTATAAGAAATAAGGGATGAATATTGTCACGATACAGTGTTTTCCTCAGCCATACATTACGTTATCAACCTATATGAAAGTGTACCAGGATCTGAATCATAAGTGCACGGTAACCTAGTGGTAAGGTTGGTCTCTACAACGCCTTAGGTTGCAGGTACTAATTCCGTACCATGCCTCTTTTTTCATACGATTTCTGATATACTTTTTGAACCTTTTTTTTTTTTTTGAAAATTGAGTGACTAGTGTTAAAGAATCAGTCTGTAGATATAGTCTATATCATATAGATGCCCCACATTGATTTACTAATTTCAACATTTATTTATATAGTCAAATAAGAAAATTACGGTGGAACACTGTATATTTAAATATTCAAATATGTATTCTAAATATCTTTTTAAAAATGTATTCGAATTATTATTTTGAATACAAGAAAAAAGTATTTTTATAAGACTTTATTTTTATAGAACACCTACAATTGCTGGGGGTCTTTTTGCTGTGGATCGAGAATATTTTAGTGAGATTGGAGAATATGATCCAGGAATGAACATTTGGGGTGGTGAAAATTTGGAACTATCATTTCGAGTAAAAAATTATATAAACCCCTAAGAATCTTTTCATTTTTAAAATACACATTAGAAAGTTGTATTTTGTATTTATTCCCGAAAATAATTAAATTTTATTTTTGGTTTAAATGAAAAAGGTATGGATGTGTGGTGGCTCTCTTTTCATTGAGCCTTGTTCTAGAGTTGGACATGTATTCCGAAAACATAGACCATACTCGGCTCCTAATAATGAAGATACCATGGCCAGAAATTCTTTACGTTTAGCTCATGTTTGGTTGGATGATTTTAAAGTGATTAACAAACTTAAAATTTAGCATTATATGCGAGACAATTTTAAACTAAAATATATTAATCATTACAGAAATTTTTTATAAGTAAACGTTTAGATCTTATTAATATAAAATATGGTGACATAACTGAAAGGAAAGAGTTACGAAAAAAATTAGGATGTAAAAATTTTGAATGGTATCTTGAAAACGTTTATCCAGAAATATTATTGCCTACAGATAATATTGAAAATGTAAATAAAAAACTAAAAATTGTAGATAGACCTGCTTTTCAACCTTGGAACAAACGAATTCGTAACTACACAGCAAAATTCTTGGTAATGTATATTAATTATTATGTCTAATATTTTACTAAAATAATTATTTTAATTTTAAAATAATCAATTATTGATTCAAATTATTATTGTTGTTTTTAATTATAAAAGAATATTGCATTCTGTTAATAAATTATGATGATAATTACAAATTTAATAATAAGGATACGAATATTGAAATAAGTAAACCGTCTAGTAATGGAAACTCAGAATTAATATATAAATATTTTAACTTTGATCTAAATTAAATCTATACTATATACCAGTTTCTTTTTAATATAATATAAAAGTTAATATTTAATCTTTTGTTGTAGTTTTTAGCGAATTCTTTAAAAATGGTATTTTTAAATCACTGTGAAGAGTAATATTTGTTATGTATCTGTTATAAATTTTAAAGTTATTGATTGGAATTGGAATAGAACGTATACTTGTTAATTTAGCAGATGCTCAAGTTTCTGTTCTATAGAACCACACTGTTTGGTCCAATTATTGTTTTATGTATAAGAATTTTATTTTTTAGTCTTAAATTGTATTTTAATATTAGTCGAAATTAATAAAGACGAGTATTTAGTTGCTTATATTTTTGACTTGTATGATGATTCCAAGTTAGTTATTTATCATGCACAATACCTAGTATTATACTGCTGATTGAAGAGAAATTTACTTATTACTTGGTTTAAGTTTTAGAATGAAATTAACCTATACAGACTTTGATCGTTAATTTTAATTTTTTATTGGGATACTCAGGACTTAATTAGATTTAAATGTTATTGGATATGACTTAAAACAACGAATGGATCTTTGTTTGAAGGTAGTAAATCGCAAATATTTCTAACACAGCGCTGTTGGAGATTGGTATATCAGAAGTATTTATGTTGTAAAGTAAAAGCAAAAGGTCACTTGAGAGATTTTAACTTTAAAAATAGTATAATTAAAACTTTTTTATTGAACTAATTGAACTATTTGGGTTTTAAGAAATGATGTGATATTTAGGCAATAAAGGTTGGAAGAAAATTCTTTATTTTAAATAAAAGTTTAAAGTGCCAAAAGCCTGAGAAAAACCCAAAAAATTACAGCTAAATTCATTAATCTTAAAAGTGGATGAAATTTGTATATTATTTTATGAATTTGATGGATTGTATTATGTTTAGATCAAAAACCAAACTTCGATTTTGATATTATATTGTAAATATTTGTAATTGAAATAATTTTAAATAATATGATTTTTTTAAAAAGTGTACCAAATGTAGGCAGCAAATTTATTGGACGATAGGAATTTACAAGATGTCTAGGTTTGTTTGGTTTTAAAATCATAATTATAACTAAATATTTTCATGTAGGGGGGGAATAGGATAGCCAAAGGCGCATTGAATTGTATGTGTGAGTAAGAAATATGACAGGCTTGCTTTTTCTTGATCTGTGGTGGGTTAATTATTTAACATCAATTTTTTTTCAAAATAAATCTAAATTGTATTACTATAATTTAGATTAATTTGAGCAATTCAAAACTGTGTGTTCATCCTCTAAATGGTTACCAAACTAAAAATAGCAAACTTGTACTAAGGCCATGTATCCAAAACATGGAGCAGGTAAATCATACACTGTTAAATATTGGCCAATAAAATATTTTTTTATAATTTTTTTTGTAGATATGGTATAAAACTGATAAAGAAGAATTAGTATTAGCTAAACTTTTATGTTTGGATAGTTCATCTGGAAAACCTGTAATAAGCAAGTGTAATGAAATTGGAAGTACACAACGATGGAAATATTCTGATAATGTAAGTTCATGTACACTATTAATGTTAAACCCTTTTCTATTTAAATTTAATTAAAATCTGTTATTCTTGATTTTTTTTACTCATTATAACTTTTTATAATTTAAATTATATTAATAATTAAGTAATATTAAAACTATATTAAAAATATTATTAATTAAAAAACTAAAAAATATTAAACTTAAAAGCCACAAAAAATTACTGAAAAGTCGCGGATACGTATTTTGGAAACAATGTTACCATTATCAACGCTAAACACATACTGACATCCCGACTAGAAAAAACTCCCTTATATACCTAGTGACCTTATCACTTAGTGACGTCATCACTAAGTAATATTATCACATTTTGTCAGTTTACACAAGTTTAATAATGAAATATTCAGTTGACCAAGATCCCAATTAATTAAATTGTTTATATTTTTAAACATTTCTATTGCCTCCCTAATATTGAGTTCTTTGTATTTACGTTTTTAATTAATTTTATGGTTTTAATGGAGTGATTATGTGTCAATAAATGTTCAGTCACTGGAGATTTCTCAACTTCTTGATTTTTAATATTTCTTAAGTGCTCTTTAAACCTGACCCCTATATTTCTTTTGGTTTGTCCTAACAAAAAGAATTATAGGGGTCAGGTTTAAAGAGCACTTAAGAAATATTTAAGACGTTTAAAATGCGTCAAGCCATATGACTTGGTTTAAATTTATAAATATTTATTTTACACTTTAAATATTATTCATTATTATAAGACTAAGTTAGGGGGACCACTTCACTGGAAGTGTAAATCTCATTAATGTTGTATTAGTGTATATATATTAATTAGTAAAACTGTATATTTATAATTTTGATAATCATTTAATTGTATTGATTAAGATGTATGATCGTCTCAATAAAAAGTACCGTAGAGTAATTAAAAAAAAAAAAAAAATTCGTAAACCTCTTAAAATTACGACTGCATTAGAGAAAAATACTTTCTAACGCTAAAATATTTTAGACATTAAGTTCTTAATGTCCTAAGTTTTAACTAAAATTATCGACTAGTACTATTAAGTTCTACTAAGTGAGTGGGCGTGATGCCCCTATAAGACGGCCCTACATCCTCTCTTTAGGATCATATGGTCAGGTTAGAAATAAAAATAATATGTATACACATTAATTATAGGTGATGGCTATTTTATGTTGATAATAGGAGTAATCATAATAGGACTTGCCTTGCCGATTGCATTTTATTTTTTTTTGATAATCTAATCATTAACTAAAAATCAAAAAAATTAATTTTAAAATCATATCACCAATTTTCTTTTTGATTATATTTTATGAACCCTGAAATCTTTAAACCTACATTAAATTTAAGCTAATACAATGTACATTAAAACGATAAATAAAAACTTCGAAATCTTGATTTTTAGAAGTTGTGTCAAGCATTAAAATCAAAAATCATACAAATATGTTAAAATTTAACGACTTTGAATTTTTTTGTATAACTTTAGAATATTTGCATCATTCTTAATTATTTCAATTTAAAGCTTGTTTATTGTAATATAACAAATTAATCAAAAAATATCATATTCACCAAACATTACATGTTACTCAAAGACGACAAGTTATCGGAACGTTTTTTTTTTTTATTTTAATCGTTACACTTAAATGAAATTAATCATAAAAAAGAATTATGATTAAAAGTGTCATTTAGGATTTTTAAAGAAATATCAATTATTCGTAATCCAGTTTAATTACTTATTTTAATTTCAAGAGCTCTATGCAAAAATAAAATGACTCAAATTTTACAAAATTAGATTTAAACTGTTTCTAATTAAAGTAAAAATGATAGATGCATCTATCCAAGAAAAAAGTTAAAAAGAAAAACAAGTATGTGTTAAAAAATTCTAGTTTTATTAGTTTACTGATAAGTTTTGAAAATAGAGTTGACTTATTTTTGCATGAAGCTACTAATTTATATTAGGTAAAAGATGTATGTATAGTAATTCTTATTATTACTTTAATTTACAGACAGAAACGGCATTATATAATTTAGCAGCTGGTACATGCTTAAGTGTTAACATTAAAAAAGTTAATGCTGAAATTGTTATGGACATTTGTACCAATGAAAGTTCTTTGAATAAGTGGAATTTAATTGAAATTTTCTAATTATAATATTATACATATTGTACACATTTTTTTATAAGATATTTTTTTGATTTAATAGTATGCATATAATGTTCCAGTATTAAGTGTAAATTTGAACAAATTACTTTCTATAAATTATTTTAATAAATGCTGCTCATGAACTATATCACAGTGAATACCTTTTATTATAAAGTATTTAAAACGTCAATTTCATATTACGGTATTGCTAAAAATTATATATTTTTTGCTATAATAAAATATAATTTTTAAATATTAGGTCTTTATTTAATAAAAGTTTTCGAATTTTTTTATATTAAACATAAGCATTTGATTATAGAGGTGCTAGGGTATGTAGATTGAAATCAATTATGTTTATGCTCTAAAAAAAGTATCAACATTTGAGTAATTATTGAGTTTTATCTCAAAAACAGATCATCATTTTAAATTATATAAAATTATTAGTAAGAAAGGTAAACTTAAGGTGCATTACTTCTAATATTTAACATAGTATCAAAAATGTGCTAAGTTTAAGAATTGCAGCGAAAAGTGAGGTGAAGTTAATTTTCATTTCGATAATAGTGCAATGTTGAATTTATAAGCGTTAAGTACACAACTGTATGGCAATTTATAGCAAAAAAATACACGATTTGGATTATTACTAATTGTACTTCAAATATATCATTGATTTATTTAGTTTACTGATGTTACGAAACTATTTTGTTATCGCGATTAAGTCATCCAACTTAACAGCGTGCAAACGTTAAATTCAGTGACATAAATTTCGACCCCTTTAAAGAAACTCAATCTTATAATATAAAAGGTCAGAGAAGATACAACAATATTGATAAGCTGTTGACCGATCCATTTTTAATTAAAATTTCTTATAATAGATTAAATTATACATGTGGATTAATTTTGACTAAATTGCAAACTTTGAAAACTTTTTAACAAATTGTTACCACAAAAAGATATATTCAAAACCAGAAAAAAAGAAATCGATTAAAAAAAAATTGACATTCATGGGACTGGTGGTAAAATTGATTTCAGTCATCAGAAATAAATTACATCAATTTTAGCTTCGATGCGAAGGTATTAATTTTACCATGATGTGTTTTTTTTTTATGTCTGTTTTCTCAGCTCTCACTAAATCGATTTCTTTCAACAATACGTCAAAAGATCACAAATCGTATCTAGTTGAACACATTACCCTCAAAAATTTTCCCTCGTTCCCCACAAATGGGGTAAATCTCCAAAAAAAAATTACAATTTTAAAAATTAGTAATTTTTGACATTTTTTTTCACTTTTTTTTTTCTTAAAACTACCATAACTTTTTTAAAAATGAACAAATCAAAATAATTTATATTGAAACGTTAGATATTTTTCTTTTATTTGATATCATTTTTTTTGAAAATCTAACACTTAAGCTGTGAGCAGGTGGGATTGGAAAATAGCAACTTTTTTACAAAAACTAACTTTTTCAACTTAATTTTTGAAAATGTTCCAAAAATACTCCCAGCTTTAATTATATGTCAAATTGAAGCTAATGTTACGTAATATAAATTAAAAAAAAAAATTTTGTCCTGACACCTTTTCTTCTATGAGAAAATAGCCATTGACTTCTACGTGCAAACGGTTGCCGAAGTTAAAAAAAATGCTATTCACTTTGAAATTTTCAACTTTAACTTGTTATACCTTTCGAATAATGTATGTATCAACACAAATTTTTTTTCTAAATACATTATATATACGTATTTTATTTGACATACTTTTTATTTAAATTGGACAATATTCCCTTATACAGGGAGGCGTTCAAAACTTGAAACATACATATAAAAAGTAATACTTTTTCAATTTAACTTTTGAAAATGTTCCGGAAATACTTCGAGCTTTAAATATATGTCAAATTAAAGCTTATAATAAATACTATAAGTTAAAAAAAAAATATTTGTTCTGGCACCTTTTCTTCTATGACAAAATGGCCGTCAAATTAACGAAAAATGTAATTTTTATGTAAAAATCACTGTTTAACATGAAATATTTTAATACTTAAAAGTGCCATAACTTTTTAAAAAATCAACAAATTAAAATAATTTTTTTTTATATTGAAAACAGATATTTTTCTTTCAATTGATATAAATTTTTTGAAAATCAGTCTCTAAATCAGACCACTGTAAGGATTCAATAAAGCAAATATTACACACAAGTTGCAAGTGGGCTTTTTTATATATTGACCTGTAACAACAACATGGTTTGCCACTTGCATAACGACTAGCTATAGTAACAAGGGTCGCCACCACCTAGGAGAGGTGTCACATATATCAGATATGATTACCGGACCATAGGTGGAATTTAATTTTAAGTTAATTATAAGTATAATCTAAGTTAATATGTCGTTATATGTATAAATTATTATAATACCTCCTTGTTTATTAAACACAATTATGACAATCAAAGTTGTATGTGGTTGATATGTAAAACATACCGTGTCTAGATTAAGGAATAGGGATAAAATACACGCGAGTAATTAAGTTACTGGCGCAATAAAATAAATATTACAGTTGAAATTAATAAGGAAATTTAATTTAATTGTTAAAAAAAGAAAATTAAGTTAAACATGGACAAAAATGCGAATGCATCAAAAACCATGTCTACAAATAAAGGCAACAAAAATAAAATAAAATATTTAAACAAATAATATTACTAACATCACGGACGGTATTGGAACACATCCGTTAATGTTAATCGAATATTAATGAAAAACGTTCTGAACACTCGCTCCTTAGCGTTGGCTAGAAGAAAAGGGAAACACGTGCTCTCCGCACATAAACAAAATTAAGTTAATTTACGATAAAATAATTAATAAAATATAGCTCATTACATAAATACAATATATAAGAAAAAAAAACGATACCCGGTCTCCGAAGAGACCCACCCGATGGTCTGGATGCTTCGCCGAAAAGACCTGGGGGTCTATTTTTCAATCGTCCGTTCACGAACGTATACGTTCAAATTTTATTTTATATAGGTTTATATGGCGAACGTTGTCCGTGAACACGTTCGGAACGTATGAAACATCGAACGGACGACCGTTCAAAACATTAAAAAACGTTCGTCACAACGGATAATAGAAACCATCCGTTAGCGAACGGTGGGTCGAACGGTCGATCGAACGGATGGTCATAAATAACAAAAGAAAGGTTTGACCCTTACACTTGCCTTTTAGACAAACATATTTACCTAAAATATAATTTTGAATTAAAATCGTTTTAATTAAATAAATTCATTAAACAAATCAATTATTCGTAGAAGTAGCTATAATCGGAAATAGGGAGCTAAGGCTCCTTCATGTTTGAGTGAGATTTCCTTATTAACTTATGAACATAAAAAAAATATTTAATATATATTTTTATTAATAAAAATATATTTATTATAATAAATATTATTTCAATTAATTATGTTGTTCTACAAAACATAAATTAGTTGAAAAAAATGATTGAAATTTACAAACAAAAATTTTTAGTTAAATATTAAAAATTGTTTTAAATAGAACTATTATCTAATAGTTTCCAAATTATTTCAATGCAACTTACAGCGCATCAATGATACATAATATTTGTTTACGATCTCATTAAATGCAGCGAGACCTTTTTTGAGATAATTGAGTAATATAAACAAAAATCACATTATTTAATAAAATTCACTTGAAAAATGCAACCATAAAATACATTGTATACAGAGTGATTTTTTTATCATTACCCACTCAATTACTTACAGAATAATAATAAACTAAACATTTTTATTTCCGATTATCTTTAGTTACACATTATTGTT